ACACACACATACACACACATACACACACATACACACACATACACACACAGTTAGCAAAACAAAATTTTATACTTAGATTACAAGTTTTCAATATTACTAATATAATATATTATTAAATATTTTTTATATTAAAATAAATAGTTAGTTATAACTTTACAGAATTAATTTAGCAATACGTAATTATTATTGTTATTTTATTAAATATTTTAATTATCAATATATTTATATGTGTCTATTTAAAGTTATTTAGTTTTTTATCATAATTTAATTTTAATAAACATAATCAATAAATATTATTGAAAATTATTTCAATAAAAATTTTATTAAAATAGATTAAAATACTAAAATTAAAATAATATTAATAGACTAGTTATAATTTAACTTAGCTATAAACACACACACACACACACACACACACACACACAATAGACAAAAAAAATTTAAAAACTTACCCAAAATGGTGTGTCACAAATATTATCAAAATCTATTTTATCATAGATAGTCATTTTTAAATAATAGTAATATACAATAATAATAATAACAATAATATAAAAACTTATTATTTATTTATTTAATAGAAACATTAATCAACTGTAATGTAATATAAACTGCTAGAATTTATAGTATATAATAGTATATAATGTATATAAATGCTATAATTTATTTGTTTTTTAAAAAAAACTTGTTGTAATACTGTATATAATAATTAACAACAACAAATTTTACAACAAATTAACATATAGTTAACACATAATAAATAAATAAAAAAAAACTAATAGACAAATAGCATGACATTGAAATTTAAAAAAAAAATAAATAATTTCTTTTTATTTTTTGTAAATCTATAACTACTAACATATTATTTTATATTTTTATTTATTTCACAACTAACTTGTTTTATTGAATGATTTGTTTGTCTAATTTATACAAATTATATAAACTGTATATATATTTATATACAGTATTTATATTAAGTAAATAATTTACAGTATTTACTATTTTTTTTGGATAAAATACTAAAACGAGACCCAAAACACAGTGTTATCATTATTTTTGGTGTTATCATTAAAAATAACAATTTATGTATTTATTTTTTTTCCTGATAAGCTTTTTTGATAAGTGTAGGGCTAGGGTTGAAAAATACAAGGTTTTATTGAATTTTGACTTTATTTTAAAAATATAGTAGTATACAATGTGCTGTTTGTATTATAAAAATTATTAAAAATTATTTTTTGGGAAATATATTTTAAAAATTTCATAAAAATATAATTGCTTGAAAATGCATTATTGTTATAATTATAATCGTTGTTTTAAAATAATAAATAGTAAAACAATTCAAAAAAAAAATTATATTAAATCATAATATATATATATATATATATATATATTATAAAACATGTTTATTTTTTCGATATATTAATGTTTTTTTTGACACTAAATTTTGTTTGTATGCAAAATTGGTCACGTATTATATACTGTATAATTTTATATTGTTTTATACAAACATTTTGTTTCTGCCAATTGAAAATAAATAAATATTAAAATAAAAATTATCAAAACATTTTTCTATATACAGATATAATACATGTATATATAAGTATAATATACTTATACTATATATATATATATATATATATATATATATATATATATATACTATAAACTTATAAAATTATATGTATATATCAGTAGTGTATATATAGTGTAGTATATAGTTTATTTTTGTGATGACTTTTGAATCAATAATTTTATTATCATATATATATATATACAGTATATATACCGTATATGTATAGGAATTATAAGTATTTACACAAAATTATAAAATCATGTTTTTATTAATATTAAAGTCTATATAATGTTTATAAACTTTATATTTTTGTCTATTAAAATATATTTGAACAATTATTTTTTACAATATTTTTTTCTTTAATATTAGTAGATAATAAAATAAAGTTATTAATCATTTTTATTAATTTGATTTAAATAAATTAAATTATTATTTTCACTTATATTTTGTATTATTGACTTTTAAAAAGTCATAGATTTTTTTTTATATAAAAATTATTTAATATTATAGTAAAATAAATTATATTTTAAATATTTCAATATTTATATGTTAAATCTTATTCAAATATAATATATTCAAATTTATAAAACTACTTGATTATTATCAAACATAAAAAATTTCAATAATAATAATAATTTAAATTGCTACTATATTATTAAAATATCAAAATTAATATATAAATATTGAATTTTTTTTAATCCACCTATTTTTTACTAATAATATATTTCAATAACATATGGCTTAGTATAAACAATACGGCAATTATCGTTAGAAATATAATACTCAAATAGATATAAATAATAGGATTATTGTCTATATAGTGACCCAATACTACCGAAAATATGGCCTGAAATAGACCGCTCAAAAAAGTTATGACCGCTCCGAACATGTTGGTTACCGGTAGTTTGCCTCTCAGTAGCTGATAGTAGGATGCCTGCATCGGACCGACAGCTGCACCCATTAGGCCATTGCCCAGATATAGTATAGTCATGGAAGTGTTGCCGTAGATGACAAACAGGCTAACCGATAGTGTCAACAGTACTAGACCGCCGTAAATACGATAGACTGGCGATATGTATACCGATAACGGTATGAACAGAAACCGGCTGATAGTAATGGCAATCTGTTTGACATTCAGTATATTGTTGGCCAGTTGTTTGCTGATCACTAAACGATTGACATTATCATCATTGTTGCCATTGCCAGAAAACAGTACGTATGGCGTCCAATAGGCTCCCCAACACCATCGTTGGGTCATTGCTAGCGCCGACTGCATACATACCATCAATATGACGGCACAGCCGACTGGCGATGGATATAGTTGTTTGGCTAACGAGTGACGGGTTTTTAGTAAATAACTGATAAACCAGTTGTTGTTTATTGTTGTTGTCGTTGTTTTTGTGGTTATGATGTTGTTATTGATGTCGTCATCAGTGGCTGTTGTCGATGATAATGATAAATCTTTTATCCTATGATTGCCTAATAGTATGTAACGCCGATAATAGCTTAGACAACCAATTAGTAAACCGGTTATAATGTTGATTATGCCGACAAACAGATAGGGTATCCATATTCTGCTTGAAGATATTGCCTCCCATTCCTCTTTTTCATCCATATATATTATTAAAGTATTATTTGCATTATATGAACCATTTGTTAATAATGTAATGTTGTTGGTGTTGTAGTAGTTTGACGTTGTTGTTGTTGATGATGATGATAGAAATGTGTTGGCTATTGGTGTGGCTATAATCTGTGCCAAACTATTAACAAAATCCAGTGCCACAGTAAACGGTCCGCAATTTTGTTGCCAAATGTCGACTATCCATATATTAATAAAACAGTCGATAATGCCATTGACAATACCATTGATACCGTAGGCCAGGTATATGAGTACAAGATATCTGAGACTAGCAAACGATACCGATGTCAGGCCGACTACTATCAGACACGACATATAGACTATATATTTGTCAAATTGGCTAAAAACGGCCACAACTATTAGCATACATATAAATAAACAGTATATATATAGACAAAAAAATCATATATAGTTTAATAATAATGATGATATAATTTATAAAATTATATATATATATATTATAGATATATACCTAATGCACCGATCAAATAGGTTATACCCCATATGGTATTTAGATATGATATCTGTTCAAATGTGCACCGGTATATCAATTGCAAATCAAGCATCGATGGACCAAACAGTCCACTTTGAATTAGCTTTTTTAAAAAAAAAATAATTAATTTATAACAATTTAATTATTGTAATAAATGTTATTATATATATATATATATATAGAAATATATAATAATTATATTTTCTTACATGAAATAAAAAGCTTATATATATGACAAATGTGACAAATATTTTATGTTTTGTTGACCACATGTTGTTGTTGTTAATATTAATGATATTGTTGTCATCTTTAACTTTATTATTACTATTTTTAGGCATAATTGTGATATTTTTAATTATTATAAATTTATACTAAAACTATATAATACCATACTATATAATATAATAAGAATATTAGTAATAATAATAATAATAAACAATTTTAATTATTAATTATTGATTGAAAATATAATGAAATATACAGTATATAAAATTTATATATATATATATATATAATATTGATATCTGATCATAAACTTTACTTAACATATAAACAATGACCTAATATACTAAATAAATTGTAAATATTTATATACAGTACTTGTATATATACTATATAATATTAAATAATATTTTTTAATTTCAAATATTTTTAAGTCATACATTATTACTTATTAATCAATTATTATTTATTAATAATAAATTTTTTAATATCTTAATGGGAAAAAATGTGTATTGTAATAATATAAATTGTTTATTATTAATAAATAATAAATTTTTTTTGTTGTTGAAAAAAATGCATTAATATTTGTTAATATATTGTACAGTGATTTACATTAATAATTAATATCGTAATTAATAATAATGACTATTGTAACTAAATTCCAACTAAAAAATTTTTGAGAATTATAATTAATTGAACATGATATGTTTTTATTTCCAATAGCAAAATATAAATTATTAAAAAATACAAACAAACAAAAATTTTAACACGACATAAATACCGATACATATATAGTATAAATTTTTAGTGAATATATTGTAAAAATAATAGTAAATAATTTTTTAGTTTTTAAATTATAGATAATTTATAACATTATTATTATATTAACTATAAATTAGAAATACAATTAATAAATAATAAAAAGTTTAAAATTAAAATAAATTAATGTTTAAATCAAAATTGAAATAAACTAATTAGTATTTTATTAAACAATTTGTATGCAGTATACCAGTAAATATAACAGTATTATTTCAATAAAAAAATATGTAATGTAATATAAATGCAGTAAACTTATTTTTTAGTTAAAAAAATTATGATAATTAAAATTCAAACAATACCAGCATTTTTTGCTAATAAATAAAACAATGAATTACTATCTGAAAGCAATATTAAGGGCGAATCAAACTCAACTGCCCGTCCATCGGATAGGACTAACACACGATCGGAATCAAGTATAGTGTTTAGTCTGTGAGCAATGGTTAGTACAGTACAGTTGGCAAACTCTGACCTAATAGTTGTCTGTATGAGTGCATCGGTTTCGACATCAATGGCAGCCGTTGCCTCATCAAGTATGAGGACAGTTGTGTGTCTTAGTAAAGCCCGGGCCAGACATATAAGTTGTCTTTGACCTACACTGAGATTATCTCCGCCCTCATTGACTGGAAAGTCGAGTCCCGATTCGTTGGACAAAACATAATGTTTGAGATGTGATCGCTCTAAGGCTGTCCACAACTCGGAGTCCGAGTGCCGATCAAATGGATCTAAATTTGAGCGAACAGTGCCGGCAAACAGTACCGGATCCTGTGGTATAATTGTTAGACCTGAGCGCAAATCCTAATTAAATAGTAATATTTAAATATACCGATTATTATTTATATTTAATTAGTTATAATTTATTTTTTAATTAAAAATACTGTAGACATATATTAATACATACATGTAGTGCCAATTCACTGATATCTATGCCGTCGATCACTATTTTGCCGACGACTGACTCTATTATACGAAATAATCCTAAACTCAGTGACGACTTTCCCGATCCCGTGCGGCCAACGATTCCGATCTTTTTTATTAAATAAAATTTTTGTTTGTTTTAGAAATTAAAATAATAATAATTTTAATAATAATAACTAAAATTATATTTCTTAAAGTATAAAATACAGTATAAAATTCATAGATTTTTTTTTTAATTAACAATACTTTTTCTTTGGCATTGATTTTGATGTTAATATCTTTGAGCACTAAATCCAAACCCTGACGATATCGGGTACTGTAGTCGACAAACTCTATACAACCCATTGCCGGCCATTTATCTGATACAACTGTTCGGTTAGTTGAATGCCAATCGGTTTCGGGTTTCATTTCAGAATACTCGTCCACTCGTTCAACAGAAACCATATTGTTTTCCATTACGGCCGACAAGCGGACAAAGTCGTCCATCGAACCGGAAATATTGACCGCATAGTTAAGCGATAGGCCAACCGAACCGGCACTGATCCGCCCTTTGGCCAGTACGGCAAACAGGGCGGCCGAATAGGTAATCATATTCGATAACAATTCTAGTCTTAACAATACCCAACCCAATGCACCGGCACTCGGATACAGACACTGTTGATTAATCTCTATTCTGCGATCCGATTCCCTAATAAACCTATCCTGACATCCATAAGCCCGTATTGTCGACACACCAGATAGTGTTTCGCTAAAATGTATATAAATTGGCGATCGGGTGGTCAACTCTAAGCTAATAATAATAATAATATTTGATTCAAAAAATAAAATAAATATTTTTAATAAAAATTCAAACAAATAGTTTGCAAATTACACCCAAAAAAAACAAACCGTTTTAACTGTCGTGAAGTTTTTACATAAAATTTCTATTGATATTAAATAATAGAGAATTATATTTAATAATTTTTTTTGTCTAAAATATTCTAATTAATAATAATATTTTTATTATTATTATTTTAATTATTATATTAATTACTTGAAAATACATATAGACGACAACCAATAGTATTATTGCTGGTAATGATAACGGTGTTTGTAGACTAATAACGATAACAGTGTTTAAAATTGTTAGCAAACAGTTTAACCATAAACTAAATATTTGTATAAACAGAGAGAAAATTAATGATTTAGTTTTTTTTTATATAAATAAATTGTAATATTAATACAAATACTAATAAAATAACAAAAAAAAAATTTATAAAAATTAAAAACAGTTTTGAAAGAAATAATAAAACTTTTATATATATATATAATAATAATAATAATAATAATAATAATAATATGTATTTATATTTTTATTAAAACTTACATAAAGTTTAAAAAAAATCTTATTTTTTTAGCTAATACTAGAGAGTCAGAGAGAGAGAGAGAGAGAGAGAGAGAGAGAGAGAGAGAGAGAGAGAGAGAGAGAGAGAGAGAGAGAGAGAGAGTATTTTTTTAATAAATAAAATAAAATTTATATTACAAAACATATTTTAAAACTTTTTTAATTACTTTAATGTCGACGACATCTGAGTGTCCAAAATGTCGATATCTTTGCTAAAACGGTTAACTATACGACCCAATGGTGTCGTATCGAAGAAACTCATCGGCGACTGTAGTACCGATGATAGTAGTGTTTCGTATAGTCGTTTGGCTGCCAACACACCCACACTGATGATACCTATCCACGATAAGCCGAGAAATAGGATTTTTGACGAACCCATCAGTGCATAGCCTACTAAATAGTAGACTTTTTTTGAACCGCTATCCGGATCGTCGCTCCATAAGCTTAGCCAGAAAGTGGCCGCCGATTCGCTACCGATGGCCAATACATAGCTAATTGTTAGCATAATTGTCCAGACAATGGACATTGATTTTATGTATTTCAGATATATCTATAATTTTTTGTTTGTTTGTTTGTTTGTAATAACAACAAAATCAGTAACAAAAAATTGTTATATATTAATATCTTTAATAAAATAAAATGATAAGTTTTTTGTGGTGTCATATTTAGTATTTTGTAATTTAATTAATTTTTTTATATAATATTTGAATTTATTGTAATATAATAAATTTATTGAATCTAATATTATATCAATATATAATTACTATTAAAGTAAAAAATATAACTATAATATTTTAAACTGTTTTAAAATGTAAACTAGATTTTGAATTGCTATAATATTTTTTTTTTGGCTATTATATGATGTAAATTATGGGTATATTAGTAGCTATTTTTAAGATAAAAATAATTTTTATCTGTTATATATTAATACAATAAGTAATAATATGTATGTTTGTTAATATATATGTATTATAGTACTGTGTGTAAGTTTGTGTGAATGAGTGGGTGTGTATGGAGTTTGTATAAGGTTTATATGGGGTTTATATGGGGTTTATATAGTGTTTATATGGGGTTTATATGGGGTTTATATGGGGTTTATATGGAGTTTATATGGGGTTTGTATGGGGTTTGTATGGATTTGTATATAAAAAATAATTAATTAATACAAACCCTGAGCTTGATTTGTCCGGTTTCGACATTTTCGTCATCAATCAGCCGATTATCATTGACCTCATCCGATGACAATACAGTTATAATGTTGTTATTGTCGTTGTTGTTGTCATTATTAGTATTATTAGTATTATTATTAAATTTATTATCCATATTATCAGTGCCTGAATATTGTCTGCAAATTTGACTAAATTCCTTATTTTCATTCATTAACTGATCGTAGGAACCGATTGCCTGTATTTTACCATTTTTCAAGACAACTATCTGATCAACGAATGGCAATACAAACAATTGATTTGTAACCATAATTCGGGTCTTATTTCGCAATAAACCGGTTTCCGAGTGAAGCACTTCATGCATAATATGTTGTCCCACATGACTGTCCACTAGTTTATTATCATTTTTTAATTTTAAAAAAAATTTCAAAAAAATATATAATACAGTATTTGTTTTTTTTTTGTTTTTATGTAAATACCTGCCGAAAGTGGGTCATCGAGTAGATAGAGATCGGCTTCACTATAGACAGCTCGGGCTAAACTAACCCTTTGTTTCTGACCTCCGCTCAGATTAATACCTTTTTCGCCGATCTCTGTCTCGTCTCCGGCGGACAGTTGTCTCAGATCATCGCTTAGGGCACACGAATTGATTACCATTTTATACATATCTTCATTGATGTCTTTACCAAACAATATATTATCTTTGAGTGTCATATTCATAATCCAAGGCTGTTGGGGAACATAGGCTACACTAATACCGTGTCTAATGTTAACCCTACCGGACAGTCTGTCCATTTCGCCTAACAGTGCCGCCAGTAGCGAACTTTTTGCCGAACCAACTGTACCGATGACTGCCACAAACATACCGTCCATGATTTTCAGATTAATGTCTTTCAAAATAACTTTATGATTATTAACTACTGGTCCGCTATTCCATGTAAAACAACCGTTTTCAATACGAAGCACTGGTAGTTCATTATCATGAGTTACATAATTAGTGATTTCAGGTAAGTCCAGAAATTTGTTCAAACGTTTAGTCGAAACTATTAGCTATTAATAATTTTAAGTTACAATTTGTTTTATCATATTTTTTAAGTACTATTAATATAATTATATTGAGATATATATATTTACGAGTATTATTTCGTTGATAGTGTCGGGCATTTGCATTAGTGGCGCCCCGACATTGGCCAACAATGTCAACGAAACAAACACTTTTTGGGCGTCCAACGGCTCGGAACCGATGGCCAAATAGGTGCCAAATGTGGCCAACGCTACCATAAATGGCAAACAGTTTGATGTCAGCACTGTTATCGTACTCCAGAAGCCGGCTGTCCTTAAAAACCTTAACTCTTTGCTACGTATTTGCAATATCTTATCGACGAAAGCCTTTTCCCATCCGTATAACTGTTTTGTTTGTATTATTGATACAATTAATTATTAACTATAAAAAAAATTAAAAAACAAAAAACAAATACTTTTAAAACTTTGATCCCATTGAACACATCATTGCTAATCAATTGTCTTTGATCTTTGAGCGACATTTGTTTGCCAGTAATATTGTCATTGATTTTGGCCACAAAAGCATTGACTAACATAATCGCTAGCATAACGGCCAGTCCGGCAAACGTTGAGACACCTAATTCATTGTATAGCAGATACAGTGCCAAAACTATCTGTCCCATTGCTGTCCAAAGAAAATTTATTTTCGGTAACAATCCTAATATATATGTATATATAGATATATCAATAAATGATAAAAGTTTTATAATACTATATATATATATATATATATATACATCTACAAAAATCTATATACACATACAGACACACCCACCCACCCAAACACATACATACAATATATAAGTTTTAGTATTATTCAATTAACTAACCAATAAATCGATGACAATCAACGGCCATAAGATTGACTATCTGTCCAGTATTTGACTCCTGATTTTTGGCGCTATTACTTAACACCAGTGCCTTGCGATAGACGAGCGCCGTTAGCAATGTTTTTATACGCTGTCCTAAAAAAATAATAATATAATAAATAGTTATTGAAACCAAAAATAATATTATTATTATTAGATATAAATAAAATTTTCGGGTAAAATTATATAATACAATACCTAAAACTTGCATTTTTTGTATATTTGTTGAAAAAGCAAATGCAACGATCATATTGAGTGCCAATAGAGTAGTGGCGTAGACATACCCGTGCCATTGGGGCTCATCATTGATGGTAAACTCAATCAAAAATCTATTAAAATAATATTTTAATGATATATATACTATATATACTATATATCTTATATACTGTATACAGTATTTAAAATATTTACTTAAGTAGGTATGCGCTGACAATGACTGCCGCATCCAGTACTACATAGATCAGTGTAGGCGTTAAATAAGTCCACCAAAAAGTTTTAACAATAGCTGTAAAGACATTACTGGGCGCTGGTGTTAGTGGTGGTGTTAACTGTGGAACAGTTGACTCGTTGTCGTCGTCTTCATCATCAATATTGTTAACTAACTCTACGTTATCTGTTTTAAACCATTTACGATAAATGTAGCCCAAGTTTGTCCATTTTGATAGTTTAGTGGACAACCATCCAGTTTTCTGTCCACCAGTTTTATAATATCTACGAAAGTTGGCCATCAAAGTGTCGACACTGTCGTCGGATCGTAGCGGCCAAAGATTGGCCAATGTTAGCGGCTTTCGCCAACCAGTCCACAGTAGACGGTCGACCCAACTGAATGTCAGTAACGATGGATACGATGCCCTGTCTTTTGGACAGTTGGTTGTTGTTGTTTGTGTCGGCAAACGGTCGGCAAATGAACAAAACACTAGCAATAGTATAGTCAATGAAAATTCTATAGAAATAAATATTAGTTCAACAGTTGCCGGTGTCCTAACATATGCCCAAACGGCTAGACCGCCGGCCACTGTGTCGGCTAACAGATAAAACCATAGACAACCGCTACAGTTGTGTATACCGTACAACCGATACAAATAGACAACTAGTGTCAGTGTTAGTCGTATAGACATTTCTATGACTGTCCGGATAATGTAGGCAACTGTTGATGGACTACTTGTGTCTGCTGGCCATTGATGATGATGATCGTAGTAGCGCCTGTACAGACTAAATGCTAGATTGCCAACCGTTACCATAGTCAACAAGCAGCTAATGGCCAGTCGTGTACAATTGTAGTAGTTGTTGGAAATTGTTGGTCTCACCGAACGATATATATCGATAAATATGTTGGTCAGACATATTGTTAGACAAGCGGCCGGAAGCCATACGCATAGAGTGTCGGCCATACATGTACTCATCCGCGGTGTAGTAGTGTTCCACATAAGCTCCGGGTCCTTTTTGAAAAAAATTAAAACAACAATTAAATAACAATAATATTAATATCACTGTATATCCTATGATGATATTATGTTATAATAAATGGCTAATTAAATAATAAATTATAATCTATGATATATTATATTTACCCATAATTTTGTGTTACATATATTATCAAACAGTTTATCAAACATTGTTATTACTTAAATCAAAATCAATTTTGTGAATATTATTTATGTAGTTTTTAGTTAATAAAAAACAAAAATATATATATATATATATTAAATTCAGATTTAAATATTATTATTATTACTAATATCAAATAGTATAATAAAAAAATAATAATAAAAATAAATATTTTAAAATAATGTTTCAAACAAAATATGATGCATTAAAAAATAAAATTTAAAGATCATAAAAATTAAAAATCATTATTATGTAGTCAACATAATTTTAAAAAATAATTTTACTTTAAAATAATTAACACAATAAAAAAATAAGGCTATACAGTAAATGAGAAATAAATATTATGATATTTAAGTTAATAATAAAAACCAGTCAAGAATGCTAGAAAGCATTTTCAGGAAAAAAACTTGAATATCATTTAAAACCATTAGTTTGTATAATTATAATTATAGTATAATACATATAATATGATAATCACAAAATATACTCAACTAGTCATGTAGTGTATCAAATGACTCAGTATGACAAAATATACTCAACTATAGTCATGTGTGGTATCAAATTATTTATATAACAAAATAAACAACTACAATCATACTTTTAAAATAATAAATTAATCATGATCTATTATCAATTATTTTTCATGCTCTATATAATTCTAAACGTTAAAATTTTTCGCTAAATTTTTTAATTTGTCTGCAATTTTCTCTATGTTTCAGAGGAGATATCAAAATTTTAATACAACTTTTCAATACATTATTAGTAGTCCTCTAACCGAATCTGATGTCAGAATTTAAAAATTCGCAAAATGAAATGCTACACACAGACAGACAGACACACAGACTCAAAAAGCCATTATAGATTTCAGAAAACAAAACTTTTCAAGTTTTTTTTTGAAAATTAGTAACAATTTTTGTTTTTCAACTAAGAAACTAAAAATATATTATTTAGACTTATTATATTTGTATAAAATTTGTATTAATAATAAATAAATTTAAAAATAATTATCACTAGAAATTAACTATTATTATTACTAAATGCTATAATAATAATACTTTATTTTATTTTATTTTTTTAAAAAAAATTTATATTGATTATTTCAAAAAAAAAAAATAATTTTATTACTAATAGTCTATTAGATAATTAATATATTTTGGTAATAACACACACACACACACACACACACACACACACACACACACTGATACTAATTAGTAAATAAATATATATTTATTTAAAACAAAACTTTATTAATTATTGAATATTATTCCCATTTTAATTCCCGTTCCCACAGCAGCTCGAGTCCCGTTCCCGTCCATTCGGCGGCAACTTTCCTATCGATAGCATCGCTTTTCTCTCTAGTCATGTGCGACCTCCAGTTGCCGACCAAACCCTTTCGCAATCGCCAACTATCCTGTTTGTCAAACATGGGTTTCATTGTATCCATAGTTGACAGTCGTTCAATACGGTCGAGCAGTGTTTCGCCAGTACCGGAGTCCATCACACGGGACAGTCGTCTAACATAGTTATCGCCTAAAAACTTGGCTACAGTTTCGATAGCTTTTCGCGGTTCATGTTTCATATCTTCGTATAGTATGAAATGAAAGTTAGGTTCACGTCTATACCGAAGCCAATATTGTTTAACATATGTAAAATAGTTATAACAATCGGGTATACTATCCGATAGCCAATAGTCTAATAGTTTGTCATAGTGTTTGATTTCACCAATTTTCAGACCCTTATGGTCCGATCGGATCAGATTATCGATTGCATGATAGAAGGCATGATAAACATCTTTCGGATTACGCATTAATAGCATATACCTGGCCATCGAGTTCAGAGGAAAGTTATCGCTAGTGTAGTCGGTTTTCAAGAAAACAATGTCCTCTTCCTCCTCATCATTATCAGCAGCAGCGGCAGTCATCGGCACCTGTTTATCATCTGTTGTTGGGCTCATGCTATTGGCACCGGCAGTATTGACAGTACTAGTACTACTACTACTATTGCTTGTTGTTTTCGACATCATTTTTCTGGTCATATCCAGTGCCCGTAAGCCAACACTTTCGATAATATAGTCTTCATCGTCAACCGGATCGGTATTTTCAGCTGAAGACAGTATCAATTGGACAATATATATAAACCAATTGCTACCGCAGCTGTTATACGATATGAGAAACCGATGGTTAGGCCGGTGCTCTAGTTTGTTGGCCTGACTCAGATAGTTGGCCGGAAATATTCTGGAAACATCTTTTTTAAATATATTATCATAAATATCTGTTATTTCCATTTTTCTTGTTATTTATTTTATTTTAGAGTAAGAAATATATATATATATATATATATATATATATATATATATATATAATATAATACTATTTTTAAAAATTTTTATTTAATAAGATTTTTTTTTTGATTTTTTTTGTTGAAATAATTTATTATTTGCTAGTCATTGCTATAAATTATTAGTAAATTTTTTTCAAAAATATTTTTCTAATGAATATTAAAATGAATTATTATTGAATATCATTTCATATACATACACACATACACACACACATGCATACACACACATACATATACATATATTAACTTATTATATGTATAGTAAAAAATGTTTGGTAATAGACGTATCTTATGATATTTTACCGTAAAATACTGTTTTTTACTATCAGCTAAATTGCACTTTCATTTAAATATTTTATTATTATTCATATTAAAACACTTTATAATAATTCTATGTAATATCACTTATATATAATGTTAGCAAAAACTAAAGAAATTTTTAAAATAATAAAGAAATGTCTATAATGTTTCTAAACGAAATATCTATCTATGAGATCACCATGGTTAATTTTGTTATCTCTATATTTGTAATCTTTAAAAACATTGTTTTTACAATTAATAATTAATTATTATTAGTAGTAATTTAATTACAAATTAAAGTAAAAATATATTTATTTAATCATAATTAAAACTATGATATAATAAAAAGATTAATAAAATTTTACAAAACTTATTATTATTAAATAATTATGAATTATTTATATAGGGATCCCATTTGTATAATACATTATATAGTATAATATAATATTATATATATACAGTATTATGTTTCATTAATATATTATATAGTATTATAATTTATTGCTGAGAAATTTTCTAGAAACTTTCTCAGTGATATTTATTAGAAACTTTATATTTGCTTTTGTATACTAAGTTATGTCAATTTAAATTATTTTTGCATTAATTAGTATTTAAATTATAAATCAATTAATATAATAAATCAAATAAATTAGAAAAACAATTTTTTAAAAAAGCGTAAAATAATTGTTACTAACTTTTGATTTATATTATAATATTATATACTATTAGTTGAAACATTTTTTTTATTAAAAAATTTTTTATTTCTAAATAATAATGAAGTTTTTTAATCAATAAAAATTAATAATTTATACAACAATGTCAAGTTTATTATATTTTATTTCAAATTATTAGACAAAAATATATGAAAAATATTTCACAAAAAAATAAATCTTGACATATTTTTTTACATATACTTGAATAATTTCATTTAAATTTTTATTATTATTATTATTTTTATTATTTATTAAAAAAAATTTTTAGTTATTTTTATTTGCATAAAAATTTAAAATAATAATAATATTGGATTATAGTTAGAGTAAATACAATATAATAATTTTTTTTAAAAATCTAAATAATATTATTTTATTTTTTATTGAATATACATAATATTGTTTAACTTTATTAGTTTTTATTCATAAAAATAAATATAGCTTTTATATAATCTTGATTATTATAATAATTATTAACTATAATCTACTAATTAATATTTTTATAATGAAAATCTAACTATTAATTTGAATTAGTATTAATATATTAGAAAATTATTTATTTTTATTTAAAAAAAATTAAATAGTTTTAAAATATTTCTCATAGATTGCAATAAATTTGTTAAGCAATTGATTGAGAATAGCATTGCCAGTACTGTCCAAACATTTTTGTTTCAATACTAGGGTTTCGGTTTTGACAAACTCCTTGGACTCGGTTTTAATATTCAACTGGTCGTACAATTGTTTGATCAGTTGGACAGCATTGGGATCCTGGAGTCCATAGTTAGCCAACAGCACTGACTTTTGGTTATTGTCGGCCAACTGTAGTGCCCTAACGTAAGGCCAGGTGCACTTACCCTCAACAATATCGGTGCCATCGGTTAACAAATCTTCCACATCATCGATAACTCCGACCAAAATGCCTAATGTGGTCAACATGTCCTGAATTTTGTCCAAATGATCGTACGATGTCTGACCCGATGTATACATACCTATAAAAAAATAATAATTAAATTATTTGTAATCATATAATATGAGATAATATTTTTTGTCTTATTTTATATATATATATATATATATATATATATATATATATATATAGGATTGCCCACTAACCCAACAAAAATGCACCGGTAGCAAAGTAGGCATTTTTATATTTGTTAATCAACTTATAGTTATCATAGGTATAGGTATTAAGATCAACATGGTCATTCTGGGAACGGGTAAACTGCATGTCCAACAATTGGCCGTAAGCTGTCTTTTCAATACACTAATAGTAGTTAATTAAGATAATTAAAAAAAAAATTATTTAAATATAAAATTATTTATAAACTTTATATAAATGATATTATGGTATTTAAACTATACTATTAACAAACCTCTTGAACGCAATGAACAATTTGTACATAATTTTGATGATCACTAAAATATAGTTTCAAAATTTTATAGGTGGCCGACAATACTATAGTACTATCGTTTAGGGCCGACATACCGATTGTTGGCTATCAACAAAAAAAATCATACAATTATATAACAAAACAACCAACAATAAAAAACATTAACTATGTGTAGTAGACACAATATGTATGTATGTATAGTACACTATATATATATATATATATATTAATAATATATTATATAAATTTATATATAATTTTATTATTATTGATTTTTTCAAATTACCAATGTATGCCAACACGGCTGACCATCGCGTGTATCCGATCGGTCCATAACGTCGTCCAGTAGATCAAAATGAACCATTGCCAGTGCCACAGCCCAGGCCAGAGCATAGACACGGTTATCAAATTCATGGTCACCCGGTTTATGGCCACTCAGTACACTGTACGACGATATAATTATTTCGGCAAAATCGTCAAACTCTCGCCGACGGACAATATAGTCGTACATTTTGTTCAGAGTCTCCCGCAAACCATTGATGTCCGACTCCAATGAGTTGGCCATAACTTTGTCGATAATGGGATCAAACATTTGCTGAAATTCACGTAAACCATCAGTTAATTGTTTATCAGTAGCCATTGTTTTATTATTATTTTTATTATTTATTATTATCAATTGTTAACCTAATAAAAGAAAAATTATAACATTATATTAAGTTAATTATCGTATATAGAAATTAAAAATGTATATTAAAATTAAATAATCAAATTGCTATTTATTACTTACTCTATATATTGATATATATATTTAAATACAAAACTTCTATTTTATATTAAATGTTATATATTTTTATTTATTTGAATACTTTTTTATAACTTAAGTACTTATATATTAGTTTGAATTATTTTATAATTAATAAATAAAAAAATTCTATTATTTTATTAATTTATTTTTTTGAATTATAAATAATTATTCTTTATTAAATAATTGTAATTAATATAAAAAATAATAATAAATATTATACTAATTACTAAAACTATAATGATTTTACAATATATGGAAATTATGTCGAAATTCTATTGACACATATTTTTAAAAAAAATAAAATAAAAATAATTTACTGTTTTTTACTGAATAATTTAAATATCATTCATTACATTGCATTTAGTAATATTTATTACAATTGTATTAATTTATTTGTTGTAAAAACAATTAATATTAATAAAAATATTTTACTGTTTTTTTACTGAATAATTTAAATATCATTCTTTACATTGCATTTAGTAATATTTATTACAATTGTATTAATTTATTTGTTGTAAAAACAATTAATATTAATAAAAATATTTTACTGTTTTTTTACTGAATAATTTAAATATCATTCTTTACATTGCATTTAGTAATATTTATTACAATTGTATTAATTTATTTGTTGTAAAAAACAATTAATATTAATAAAAATATTTTACTGTTTTTTTACTGAAATTACATTGCATTTAGTAATATTTATTACAATTCTATTAATTTATTTGTTGTAAAAAACAATTAATATTAATAAAAATATGTCAATATTGTAATTAATTTAATTTCATTTTTTTAAAATTTTGTTTTTGTTTTATTATTGATAATAGCTTCGAAATATTGTTGAAAAATTACTATAATATTACAATAAAAAAAATAACTCAAGTATTCAAATATGTAAAAACATTTTATTAATTGTTTAGTATTTAAAAAAAATAATTTATTTATATTATAAGCAATATTTCTAAGTTTGTGTTCCTATATGTAAATATTTTTTTTTTTAAAACTTATTATATTATAATACAGTAGTAATTACAAGTACAGTAAATAATAATTATTAAAAAAATTAGAAAATAGGATAAAAATTCCTTAAAAAACATGAAAAATATTTAATATATAAAAATAAATTTAATTATTAACATAATAAAATAAACTGAATAATAAAAATATTATTTTTTACAATTATAAAATAATTATTTAAGAGGATAACTATTATTTTTTTTTAAATTAAAAAAAAGTATATATAATTTTTTTAATTACTTTTTCAATAGTTACTGTTCAGTATATAATATATACTCATATATCACTATATATATAATATTTAAAATAAAGTAAGCAAAAAAAAACAAAACAACAAATTTTAGCATTGCACTAAATTGTTATTTTTATTTATTAGGAAAAATACTAAATTTTATTTTTTTTTAAATTTTAATAAAAAAACTCATAAAAAAAAGTTTTTAACACCGCTTTTCGCACCGTTTATTACTGCCATCACTATCTGCTAGACAGTAGTCCTCATGTCTACAGCAGACTCCATGTCCGCATTGATACCATTTTTGACATTTTTCATTGTTATTGAAATAATTAGATTTAATATTATTATTAGTAATACTTTTATCTAACAAAATAGATTAAAAAATAAGAAAATTAATAAATTATTTAAATTATGTTTTAAAAAAATTAATTATTATATAATAATTATAGATTACTTATCAAATGTTTATTATTAGTTGTATAGACTGTACGATCATTTAAGGGTTGTATGGGTCGTCTATTATCAAGTATTTTGGTTGCATTTTCAATTGGCTCCCAATTTATAATACGAAACATATCTAACTATTAAGTATAGTTGATTTTTTATTAACAGTAATTATAATATAAAATATTATAATTTTAAAAGTTTTAACAAAATATTTATAAAAAACTACAGGTTTTTAAAATAATACAATTATAACATACCTGTTCCCGGCTAATTGGCAACGGTTGTTCAAATATGATCCAGGTAACAGATTGATGACACGGTGGAAATGTGATTGAACCTTGATATTTGAACATGCTAGTTTTGTTTTCTGGCATCAATTGACCTAAATAAAATGGCGCCTCACGAGACAATAGTGTCGACACGTTGAACGTAATAATTTCTGGCAACAACTGTATTAGTGGTGACAGATCAGGGTTGTCCACCTGTTTGCTGTCGTCAGCTATGGTAAACATTGTCGATAGGATAAGCATACCATCATCATAGGGTACGGCATTGTCCATATTGCCATACTTTTCATTGTAATGTGTTATATATAACTATTTTTAAAAATACAATACAGTTATAATATTAAATATATTATCCAGTAATTTATTTTTTTTTTAAAAAAATACAATTATTACTTATTATTATTATTATTACTATTACTATAGTTTAAATTAGTTATAGTATTTATCTATTATTTACAGTAACTACTGTATAATACAATTTTTTGGTCATCTATTAAATTTTTGTTAACTATATATTATAACTGTATATAACAATCATAATAATTATTATTAAAAACAAAAAAATATTAACATATCATATATACTATATATTTGTTATATACTATATATTTATTATATATACTGTATATACTACCTCAGCCGATGCAAACTTATTATCGATACTATGCTCTGAGCCCTGATCATCATCGGACTGTCCCCAATGAAATAATGCACTATAGAAATGATATCTATCAGTGGTGGCGACTCCACCACCACCAGCACCACCACTACTACTACTGTCCTTTAAATCAAGAACTGGACCAACAATACCGCGTGTCATCAGTTGAACGGTTTCTCCGTTGTTCAGTACCTCCCAGTCGTATGATTGCATATAGTTATAGAAACTTAACTGCAGTTCAGGCGAATAGACGGCCAGTTGTCTATCGATATTGATTGGCGACTGACGGTCGGCACCACAGCCGGGAAATCTGATCGACCATTTGGTCTTATCTTTTGTTATTAATTTAGTTTTGTTTTTTTAAATAATGATATTAAACTATATATATATATAAATACAATAATAAATATATTATAATTACCTTTATAGGCAAATGTTGGTCCATTACATTCAGTATCGTTGCCACTGTTTAATATAGATTTAAAATAATTACTAAATAAAATAATTAGATAATAAAATAGCAGTAATGATCGCATATTTTATTTATTTAATTTTTTTGTTGTTGTTTATTTTGTAATTTTTTATTGTAATTTAATTTTTGTTTTTAATATACTAATATATTTTTATTGTTTGTGTTAATGTATGTGTGTTTGTTTTTTTTATAAATTAATATTTAATACAAAATATTTAATGTATAACAAAATACAACTAAAAAACACAATTTTTTATTTTACACAAAAAAAACAATTGTCTTATTGTTGAATGAATTTGCAAATATTCATCATCATTATTATTATAAAATTGTGTCATTTAAAATATTTTTTAAAAAAAATATATGTTATAATATACATGTATATTATTTTGTTTAGTCAAATAGTTAACTTTTAAAAAAATAAATAAAAATATTTGATATATATATTTTTTTTTTAAATAGATATTTTATATACAGAAAAGTTTTATAGTGAATATATATATATCTATCTATATATTCGTTAAAATGTATAAAAATTTACATAAATTTTTTTATACATTATTATTATTATTATTAATACAAAATTGTTGTTGTGGCTATAATAATTTAATAGTCAATGATTTTATCTGTTCAGGGCCATCTTATTCATATGCAGGTAATTGTTTTTATAAATAATATTTATTTATTATTTTTTTAAAAAAACATTACCTAGTTGACTATGATAAAGTTATATAACTAATAGTTTATTTTAATTTTAAAAAAAATATATAATTTTTATCTAGATAAAACAATTTGGTCGACAATGTTTCCGGGTTGCGGTGCCAATAGACAATCGCCAATCAATATCGATACCCATAGACTAGTCTATCAGACATTTAGTTTGGTTTTATACAACTATCAACAATCGTACGATACTAATGTGGCAAACAATGGTGATTTGGCACAGGTATCGTTTGAGACAACGCCAACCGCAGGAAAACCATTTGTTGAACTGAGTGATACAGGCGATACCAGATATATACTTGAGCACCTACAGTTTCATTGGGGTAAACAAGTGGATGATGGTAGTGAGCATAGTGTTGATGGCAAATCAGCAGCTGCTGAGGTATGACATTTTTTATTGACTACTACCACTACTACCACTACTACCACTACTACCACTACTACCACTACTACCACTACTACCACTACTACCACTACTACCACTACTACCACTACTACCACTACTACCACTACTACCACTACTACCACTACTACCACTACTACCACTACTACTACTACTACCACTACTACCACTACTACCACTACTACCACTACTACCACTACTACCACTACTACCACTACTACCACTACTACCACTACTACCACTACTTCCACTTAATATTAATTTTTAAAATAGTTAAAAAAAATCTATTTATTAATTTTTTTTAATAAAAAAAAATTATAGATATTTTTCACACACTATAACCAAGACTACGGCAACACTGATGAGGCATTGTTTCATCCAAACGGTATCGTTATTATGTCGGTAATGGCCGACATCAGCGACAATGATAATCCCAATTTGAAGCCATTAATTGATGCCGTATCCCGTATCGCCCCATTCAATACATCCATAGATATACCGGCTGATCAATCGTTTTATATTAGCTCAATGTTGCCCGATAATAAATTGGCCATGTACAAATATCATGGATCAATTACAATACCGCCATGTCACGAATCGGTTACCTGGATCATTTTTGAAAATCGCATTTCAATCAGTACTAAACAGGTTAATTTTTAATTTAGTTTAATTAAACAATTTTTTTTAATAAACTTAGTATTACAGATAATATAGAGATATTAATATAAACTATTAAACTAATTAAAAAAAACTCACAAATATTTAATTAATAACTAACATATATATATATATATATTAATTTTATTTTACTTTTAAATATATATATTATAAATAGTTAAACACATTTCGTTTGATGCAATGGGAGTTTCCTATTGGCAATGAAACTCATATATTAGATAATCGCCGACCAATTCAGCCATTGACCGGACGATCCGTTTTTAGCTCAAAACAGCACTAAATAATATTGAAAATTATTAATTAAAATTATTTTTTTTAGTTATGAAAAACATTTATATATTTACCTAAACTTTAGTTAATATAATTGTATTTAATTATTTCAATAAAATAAATAAATATTTTTAAAAAAATGTTATTTTTTTTAAAAAAGATAAATTAGTAATTTTTGTATCAAATGTAATAAAATGTTATTACATTTTATAAATAAATAAAAACCAGATTATCAATATATTATTAATAAACGTTTTAAAATTAATTAAAAATTATCCCAAAAAAGTTATGTAACTTAATTATTAAAAAAAATTTCATATAATCTGATTAAAAATAGTTTTTTACAAAATAGCAAAATAACTATAATAAACCTAAATGTTTAATTTTTTTAAAATAAATTTTTAACATATTGTTATTATTAAACAAATAAATTTTGTTACTTAACTAAATATTTATAAACAAAAATATATTAAACAAATTAATAATAAACATTAGATAAAATTTTTGTCCTTTAAATCAATCATTGTATATATACTTTATAGTATATAAATATATAGATATATACTGTATATATGAAAAAGTAAATTACAGTTTAGTTTTCAAAACAATATTGAACTGATTGGGTGTGACCACATCACGTATATCATGGTTAGGGTCGAGACCCTGATGACTGTCCAATACAATATCATAGTTACGGGTACGCTGTATGAGTCGTACTAATACCAGAAACAGGTCGGCATAGGCCAGCCGTTCGCCCAGACATACCCGACGACCCAAACCAAACGGTATGAACGATTGAAAACGTTTCTGTATGTATTTGCCGTCGCTGTCAATGAATCGGTCGGGCCTGAAGTCCATACCGTTGCCGCCCGACCAATGTTTGTCGCTATCGTTACTTAGTATATAGCCTTGAAATACGCCAATTGCTGTATTTTTGGGAACAGTATATTGGCCTACAGTTAACAAACAAACAAACAAATAAATTTTTATTATTATTCTTATTATATAACTTGAGAAATACAAGTATTATATATATACAGGTATTAGATATATACAGGTATTATATATACAGATATTATATATGTATATATATGGTATCTATACCTAGTTTAGTGGTGACCATAGTTTTATGCGATACACCAAACGGGGCCGCATTTCTGTAGCGTAACGTTTCCGATATGACTGCCATAGTATAGTGACACCGGTCGCGATCCACATGTCCGGGCAAATGGTCGCCAATAATCCTATCGATTTCCTGGCGTACCCGTTGCTGTACATCAGGATAGTAGGCCAACAACAGTAGCAGCCATTGAAATGTTATCTGAGAGGTGTCGACACCGGCAAAGAATACATCGAATACAGTCATCGATAGGTTTGCATCCGTCAGATAGGGTGCCGACTCTTTTGATTGACGTACGGCTTCATCGGCAGTGGCTATCAGTGCATCGCAAAAGTCTCGTTCAATATCTGGTTGATAATCGTGTCGATGGTCCAGAAATTTTTGTTGTATTAGTTGACGTAAACTAACAAAATGGCGCTTATATTTGTTGAATAGATCCGGTCTATACAGCCAACGAAATATTGGCGCCCATTCCCACAAAACAAAACAATTGCCGGTTTCGAACTCCAGATCATAGAATGTATATTTGATTTGACGAAATTCCGGGTCGTCTAATGTGTAACTAAATAAAAATTAAAAAATATAATTATTTTTTTTTAATTATTAAAATAAATACAATAATTAATACATTGTGTTTGTTGTGACAGAGAGAGACAGAGAGAGACAGAGAGAGACAGAGAGAGACAGAGAGAGACAGAGAGAGACAGAGAGAGACAGAGAGAGACAGAGAGAGACAGAGAGAGACAGAGAGAGACAGAGAGAGACAGAGAGAGACAGAGAGAGACAGAGAGAGACAGAGAGAGATAGAGAGAGACAGAGAGAGACAGAGAGAGACAGAGAGAGACAGAGAGAGACAGAGAGAGACAGAGAGAGATAGAGAGAGACAGAGAGAGACAGAGAGAGATAGAGAGAGACAGAGAGAGACAGAGAGAGACAGAGAGAGACAGAGAGAGACAGAGAGAGACAGAGAGAGACAGAGAGAGACAGAGAGAGACAGAGAGAGACAGAGAGAGAGACAGAGAGAGAGACAGAGAGAGAGACAGAGAGAGAGACAGAGAGAGACAGAGAGACAGATAAATAATATTTTATTTATTTATAATACTGTACTTTATATCTATGATTATAAATATTGGTTTTAATTTAATAAAAAAACTGGTTATTATTATTATTATTAACTTATATTTAAAAATTATGTTAAAGTTAAAAATTTTAATTAATTATTTTACTATATTTTTTAAAATATAAGAAACTTTACGTTATATAATTTATATACCTTTGTCCAAATACACTGCTGGCAATTATATTGAGAAACGTTAGATAAATATATTCAATCGGATTAAATGGTTTGTCGGGACCCATACTGTCCAACATATTATCTACTGTACGATCAACGCTATCGATGATAACATTAACGAGTCGTTCATTTGTCGAGTATTTTCTTAATATATTTTTTTTACAAAAAAAAATAATTATATAAATTATTAAAATATATTATGATTTTTTCTGAATTAAAAAAAATAGTTTATTTTTTTAAAAATTAAGATTTATATATACAGTATAATAAATACAGTATACTGTACATAAAAATATATATATAAAAATATATAAAAAATAAACTATCACTTACAGTACAGCCCCGTGAGCTATACGTCTAAGCGATTGCCAAGTGTGTCCATAATCGGTAAAAAATACATCAAAATTTTTGTCATATTTAAATAGTGTACCTTGATTATTATTTAAAAAAAATATATATATATTATATTGTACTAATTAATTGTTATACAATGTTAAAATTATTATTTTATTTTAATTAATTAATTAATTACCGGTTAATATTTCGGGTCTTCCAGCAAACTCTTGTCTATTGAAAGCATCTCTAGCTATATCAATGTCGGCTATAAAAATTTGCGGTGTACTACCAATGTGTACAGTAAATACTGGACCATATTTTTTAATAAATTCCCTAAATAATTGGTCCCAGTGTTTTGTAAATACTAGAATTAATAATTAAAGATATTATAACCGTCAGTAAATAACGTAATGTTTCAATAAATAACGTAATCTTTTAATAAATAACGCAGTGTTTCAATGAATGAACTTTATGATTATTCAATAAATTATTATTATTATTATTTTTTAAAAAAAACTTACATGATAAGTTTCCAAATATAGGAACTGGAAATGGTCCAGGTGGTAAACAATAGTAGCGATAATAAAAATGTGCTAGATAATAAACAATCGATATAATAGCTATTAATTTTAGTACAGTTAATAGATTGTATGCCATCCAAACAATAAATGATGCAATTATTGACATTATTGTATTATTGTTGAGTTGTATTACTGTATAATAGCCTATAATATTAACAATGTAGTAATAGTAGTGTTAGTAACTAAATAAAAAGTTAATATAAAATAACTATTTATTTTAAAACTAAAATTTATAATTTTTAAAAATATATATATATATATATATATTGATTAAAATAAATTTGATTATATATTTTAAAAATTATGATAGCTATTATTAATTATTTAAAGAAAATTAATATTATTATAAAATTTTTGTAAAAGTATAATATAATAATATTTTAATAAGATTATAACTTTAATAAATTGATATAAGCCAACTTAACAAAATAATATTAAATTTGATAAAATATTAAAACAATAATTATTATCATATAATTATGAATGAGATCATTGAGTTTATTAGAAAATAATATCGATTTAAACAATAGTGAACTGCCGTACAGTATATTCAATGTCGAGGATGTCATCGAAAAGTATAGTCAATAGTGTCGACTAATGCCCAGAATTATTATTATATAAATTAAATATTAAGTATATATTTTGTTAGCCGACGATTGAGAGATAAAATAAAATACAAAAAAAAATCACCAATAATATTTTTAAGCCTTTAATTTAGTATAGATACAAAATAATTGAAAAAATAATAATAATAATACTAAAATATTGTGTTGTCATTTATCGACTATCAATTTAAATCAAATTTGTCCTCTACATAAATGCACCTAGATAATAATAATATGAAAAATAATAGTTTGGGTTAAATAAAATTCCTAGTATTTAAATATATATATATATATTAAATTGTAAAATTACATAAAATTTTCTATGCTTTACAAATACTAGTAAAAAATATTTTATAAAACTTAACTTATTGGGAAAAATTATTATTATATTTAAAAAAAATTATTATTTTATTAAAAAAAAATATTATTTTATTAAAAAAAATTATTATTTTATTAAAAAAAATTATTACTTTATTAAAAAAAATTATTATTTTATTAAAAAAACTTATTATTTTATTAAAAAAAATTATTATTTTATTAAAAAAAATTATTATTTTATTAAAAAAAATTATTATTTTATTAAAAAAAATTATTATTTTATTAAAAAAAATTATTATTTTATTAAAAAAAATTATTATTTATTAAAAAAATATTGTTTGTATTTTAACTGACTATTGCTGTTTATTAGTAATGATATTGTCAGCCAAGAGGCTATAGCGGTTGGGGTCGCTATTATGCTTTGCGTGTGTTGACCGATGGTAGCGATTACAAGAGATGACAATCGATGGACACAAGAGTTTATTAACAAACAATTTATTGATTAAACGAAAAACAATGTACAGTATTATTGAGTTAAGAAAAAGAATGAAAGTGTTGGGCGGATAGGGATATCAATACAACAATAGATAGTCAGGTGAGAGAGAGAGAGACAGACAGATAATAATTACGTTCCCTAAAGTACTCCCCCCGAAGTGGCTTGGCCACGACTAGAAGTAACGAAAATCGGGGTTAGTATTGATTCGAACGCGACGTCCAGAACGAGTTGTCAATGGTTTAGATGCTGATGGAGTGATTTGATTGTCGGCATCTGGTGTGTTATTACTTGTCTGTTGTGTTGTAGGTTCGACCGGTGCCTGGATGTATGCTGGCTTTAGTCGATCTATGGTAACCGTAGACTTGCGACCATTGATGTCGATGTCGAACGTCTTGTCTGTGCGGACTAGTACTTGATATGGGCCATCATATGGTGCTTGTAGTGGTCGGCGGACAGCATCATGTCTTAAGAATACATGAGAGCAGTTGCGTAGATCGTTAAATACGAATGTTCGGCGCTCGCCATGTCTTTGAACAGACATCGGGCGGAGTTCACGCATGTGTTGACGTATTTGAACGGCGAAATCAGATGATTCAATTGACGTGTCGTCAGTGTTGCTGAAGAATTCGCCGGGCAATCGCAGGTGCTGTCCGTATACAAGTTCAGCTGATGTCGCGTTGAGATCTTCTTTGTATGCGTTCCGTATGCCTAAGAGTACAATCGGTAGTAAATCGGACCATTTCTCGCTACTATGACACTTGATTGATGCTTTGAGTTGGCGGTGAAAGCGTTCAACGAGTCCATTAGCTGCTGGATGATAACTGGTTGTTCGGATGCGTTTGGTGCCCAGCAGTTGAGTGAGTGATCGAAATAAATTCGATTCAAACTGCCGGCCTTGGTCTGAAGTTATACGTAATGGTACGCCAAATCTTGATATCCAACCACTGATCAGTGTTCGGGCAACTGTTTCAGCAGTTATGTCTATCATCGGTAGTGCTTCGGGCCAACGAGTGAAGCGATCAATAATCGTTAGACAGTAAGTATATCCGTTTGATGGTGGTAGTGGTCCAACGATATCAATATGTATGTGTTCAAAGCGTTGAGATGGCAGTGTATATGAACCAATAGGTGCTGACACATGTCTGGTTATTTTTGAACGTTGACACTCGATGCAGTTGCGAACATATTGTTTACAATCCGACTCAATGTTTGGCCATATGAACGCTCGTTTGACTAGTTTTGTTGTTGCTTTAGCTCCGGGATGTGACAGTGAATGCAATGATTGTATAGCAATTTTTCGGTAGTTATTAGTGATAAACGGTCGGGCAGTGCTTGTAGATAAATCACACCATAGTTTTGATGTACTGTGCGGTAGTGACACTAGTTTGAGTGATAGTGATGTCTTTGAAGCGATGATGTCGTTGAGTTCAGTATCGACTTCTTGCTCTTTAGCTAAAGCTTCGTAATCGACCTCTTGAGCGATAGTTTCTATGCGAGACATCGAATCGGCGACAACATTGTCTTTACCCGAAATGTGGCGAATATCAGTAGTAAATTGCGATATGTAATCCAATTGACGCATCTGTCGTGGACCTGCTTTCTCTGGCTTTTGTTTGAATGCATAAGTTAATGGCTTGTGGTCGGTATACAGTATAAACACTCGGCCTTCGAGAAGATAGCGAAATTTCTTCACCGATTCGTATGCGGCCAATAGTTCTCTGTCGTATGCAGACCACGTAATTTGTTTATCGGTGAGCTTTCGAGAAAAGAAAGCAATTGGTTGCCAATCGCTGTCCACTAGTTGTTGAACTGATGCACCGATTGCACCGTTAGAGGCGTCGACCATTAGTGATAGCGTCGCACCGGTCAATGGATGTGTTAATAGAGTGGCATTAGCGATGGCTGTCTTCAAAGACTGAAAAGCGTTGACTGCTTCTTCAGTCCAATTGATGACATCATTTTTGGCTCCGGAAAGATATATATTCATCGGTGCCTGAATAGTTGCGGCGTTCGGTACAAATCTTCGGTAAAAGTTTGCAATGCCTAAGAAACGTCTGAGTCCTGAGTAGTCTTCGGTTGAGGAAACGATAGAATAGATGCGACTTTTTCTGGTTGAGGACGAGTTCCTGTATGATCGACAACGTAGCCGAGAAATTTGACATCAGAGGCGCCAAATACACATTTGCCGACATTGATCACTACTCCGTAATCTTTGAGTCGAGTGAACAACTGTCGTAAGTGATCCAAGTGTTGAGTTTCGTCTTCAGATGCGATGAGTATGTCATCAATGTATGCAAAACAAAAATCGAGACCACGGATTACTTCGTCGATAAACCGTTGAAAAGTCTGTGCAGCGTTACAGAGACCGAAAGACATATATAAGTATTCGAATAAACCGAAGGGTGTCTTCACAGCTGTCTTATGTACGTCTTCTGGTGCGATAGGTATCTGATGGTAGGCTTTAACCAAATCGATAGTTGAGAAGACGCGACAACCGGCGAGATTATGAGTAAAATCTTCGATGTGAGGCACTGGATATTTGTCGGGTATTGTACGCGCGTTGAGAGACCTGTAAACACCACAAGGTCGCCATTCATTGTCCTTCTTAGGGACCATATGAAGAGGAGAGGACCAGTTGCTTGATGATGGACGACAGATGCCTTGAGATACAAGTGACTCGAATTCACGTTTAGCGTAATTGTATTTATCGCCAACCAGTCGTCGGCGGTCACTACAAACAGGTGGTCCATCAGTTGTTATGATGTGATGTACAGTGTTGTGAAGTCTAGGCTTCATTGTTGCTGACGGGCGAGTAATTACTGTATATTCTTCGAGAAGTCGATGATAAGGTGTGTCACCGGTGACTGTCCTAATAGTCGGTATGTCGACGACTTGAATGCGTCCAAACACTTTGAGACCAGTAATACAGTCGAGTAATCGTTTGTGTCGAAGATCAGGTGCAATCCCGAAGTGTGCGAGAAAGTCGGCACCAATTATAGGCGTTGATACGTCTGCAACAATGAATTTCCAATTGAATGCGCGGCGAAGTCCGAGATCCAGGTTTAAATAGTGTGAGCCATACGTCTTAATAGGAGTACCGTTGGCGGCAAAGAGCTGATATTCTTCTACACGCCTACGACATAGCTTTGAGTTCGGGAATACTGAGACATCAGCACCCGTATCGATGAGAAACGATGCTTTTGTAACCTTATCGGTGACGAACAGACGACGGCTTTTGTTGTGGGAATCAGTTGCCGTCGCTATTGATTCCCGTTCGCGTTTCCCTCATTGTAGTTGCAGGGCTTTGTACACTTCGTTGCTTTATTACCGAATCGATTGTGGTACCAGCACTGGCCATTATCTTCGCGATTGCGACTGTTGGATCGGCCACGTCTTTGAGATCGAGATCGACTGTGATCGCGAGATCTATTGGACGACAATTGAGCTATTTGTTTGGTGAGTGCATCGATTTGTTTACGTAATGCTTCTGTTTCGGTAGATACTGCTGATACGTGTGCCGATTGATACGTATCGTGTATTTCATCGGCAATATCGGCCAGTGTGTTGAGCTGTTCTCTTGAGGCCTTTAGTATCTTTTGTGTATCGTTAGGCAGTCGTCGCATCCATAATGTCTTCAGTGCGTCGTCAGTAACGCTGGTACCGGCCAATTGGCGGAGGCGGCGGAGGAGTTGAGATGGTTTGCGATCTCCGAGTTCTTCGCGATCGATCAGTTGTTCCAATCGTTTAGCATTACTTGTTGATAATCGACTGATAAGTGCGTCTTTAATTGTCTTGTATTTGTCGTTTGCCGGCGGATCAGTTATGATATCCATCACTTCAGTTGATTGGCTTACAGTGAGTGCCGATAAAACGCTTCCGTACTTTACGGCATCGCTAGAGATACGATTTGCGGCGAACTGGCCCTCCAGAAGACCGAACCATAGCGCAGGATTCGAATCATAGAACGGCGGAGGCCTTACGGCCACTGAATCCACATTCGTTGTTGTAGTTGTTTCGGTGTCTGGCATTGTTTGCGACAACAGGTGATGACAAAACTTTTGTTGACTTCTGTTGAGTTGATTGCGGCGACAGAAGCGATGATTTGATGATAATATCGGCGATAAGACGACAAATCGATGAAAACACGTTTATTGTAATCAATAGGTCATCGGCGGTGAAAATCACGTCCGGGTCACCAATATAGCGGTTGGGGTCGCTATTATGCTTTGCGTGTGTTGACCGATGGTAGCGATTACAAGAGATGACAATCGATGGACACAAGAGTTTATTAACAAACAATTTATTGATTAAACGAAAAACAATGTACAGTATTATTGAGTTAAGAAAAAGAATGAAAGTGTTGGGCGGATAGGGATATCAATACAACAATAGATAGTCAGGTGAGAGAGAGAGAGACAGACAGATAATAATTACGTTCCCTAAAAGGCCGACAATTAGATTAAAAGATGGTTTGATTGAATAATAATTATAACGATTACATGTAGTGATTGTGTTGAGGGACAAAACGTTACTAAAGGGTGGAAAGGGATGTGATGTCAGTATCTGCGGTGTGTCTGTCTGTCTGTGAGTGTGTACTGTCAACAATTCCCCGACCGCGAAGACCAGCGTCTATACGGCGCGGACGAACCGGGTGAAAGTTAGCCAACTTGTACGGCCAAATGGACGGTCTGTGAACGCATGAAACGAATCCATCCGCTGATGGATTGATGGGCGGCGTTGAGAATCGGTTCATAATGCGATGACTTCGGTGTTGTTGTTGAGAGTGACGGCGATATGTGACACGATATGATGACGTGAACGACATGTCGCTACGTCTACTATCGGGAGTCACACGTGAATGGTGTGACGCTTTCTGATGCGTCGTCTGTATTATACGATTTCTTGTATATGAATACGAATGTTGTCGTCGACTGCGGGTGTTATTCATATACAACGTATATATCGGTGGTGATAGCGAAACGATATTTGTTACGACGTTTACATCGTTGGCTACGTCTTGAGAGGTGGTGTCGATGATTTCTCGTCCAATAGTTATAGTGTCTGTCGCCCGAAGGATGTCGAGGACAATCGGTGTCACAATAGGACGATATGTTTCGGATAGTCGTGCGATTTGAACGCAAATCGTGACGTCTTTGTTTGTTGAGCTGTCCGATGACGAGCTTTCGGTGAGTGTTCGTTGATTTACCGGCATCGCCGTCAGTGTGGTAATGCAGAGCCGAAGCGATGAGACGCTCCTTTTCGATGGCTCCGATGGTGAGTAACGTGGATATGCGGTGCCACTCCTTTGTTGAGTCTTTGGCTGCATAAGGAATCGATGCCGTGGGTGGTAAGCTGTTGAATGTCATATTGTTATTACGAGCGACCGATTTGTGCGGTAAAACTGGACCGTCGGTTGTGCGAAACCGTGAGACCCGTGCGGCGACGGTCTCATTGTGGTGGCCGCTTACGTCTTCGGTGTTTGTCGTGTTGATAACGTTGCGGTTGACACGTTGTCTGCGAAGTGAGGCCCGTATGCGCTCAGCACGTGTTTGGCACCTCGTACTGTATCTGTACGGCATTTTCGATGATTCACGGTTTTTGTCGATGTAATCAACTACAGTAATGCTTTATCCTACCGACTGCGCCAATAATGTCAGCCAATTAGCCGACAATTGCGTAATAAAAACGAAACGATTAATAAAATTAACGTTTATTTAATATTACACAAAAACGATTGATTTATAATAACTGAAAAATACGATACAATTACGTTATCTTATATACGATATATTAGTGTCGATTAAAGTGCATAACTGTCGACATCTGGTCGATATATATAATATTGTTTGTATTTCAACTGACTATTGCTGTTTATTAGTAATGATATATACAATTAATTAATTATAAAATTAATAACTTTATTATACTGTAATAATTTCTACACGTTTTTTTTTATTGCAATAACAACAAAATTAACATTTTTTATCAATAATATTTTTTGATAAATTATTTGCTTATATAATTTAGAAATACAATCAATTTTTTTTTGTTTTTATAAATTATTGTGGAGACAATGATAATTACTAATTAATTATTTTATGAAACACTGTAACAACTAAATTAATAATATTAAAAAAAATAAAATAATGGAAAAAAACAAAAATTAAACAATGTCATTTTCTAACTAATCACTTAATTATTAAATATTTTAACTAATTTATTCATATTAAGCAATTTTTTTCTGTCTTTGTGTGCGTATGTGTCTAAGGGATGTGGTGTTAGAAAGGTATGGGAGAGGAGGGGGTACTGAGTGTGAAGTATAGGTATAAAATTTTTCAATATTTAAAAATTTCTATATTTTGTAAAAGGGGGCATTATTATTATTATTATTATTATTTAAAAAAACTTACATTATTTAATTTTTAGATTTAAAAAAAATCTAAAGAGTAAAATCTTAATAGTATTTTGGTTTTTTTTAACTAACTTTTACTTTTAACTTTTAACTAAACTAACTTTACCCTCTGCCCCTCCCCCCCAATCAACATACAACTATCTTAACACTGGGTTATCACATGTTTTAACAAATATCTAGAAAATAAAACAACAACAACAAAAATTGTAATAAAATAAATGATTAATTAGTAATTGATGATGAAGTAGATTATGAAAATTTAATCTATGATAATTTAATATTTTATAAATGTATACTGTACCATTTTATAATGTTTAATATCTTGATTAACATAATATTTATGTAATATATATAAATGCTTGTATTAAGTTTTAATAAGATTATAACTTTAATAAGTTTTAATAAGTCAACTTAAACAAAATAATATTAGATTTTAAAATATTAAAAACAATAATTATTATTATATAATTATGATTGAGATTATTAGAAATTATATCGATTTAAACAATAGTGAACTGCCGTACAGTATATTCAATGTCGAGGATGTCATCGAAAAGTATAGTGAATGGTGTCGACTAATGCCCAGAATTAGTCCCTATTATGCGGTCAAAGCTAACCCCAGTCTACCGTTGCTCAAAGTGCTCAATAAACTGGGAGTCGGGTTTGATTGTGCCAGTCAGGTATTGATCATTATTTTAATACTAATAATAATAATATAAACTTAATATCATTGAATTTTTACTTTTAATTGTTTAATTATTATATTTAATTAAAAAAATAAGACAATTTAACTATTAATATGTATATTACTTAAACTAATAGCACGAAATTGAAACAGTACTGGCATTGGGTGCCAAACCCGAGTCAATCATATTTGCAAACACTTGCAAAACTAATGCATCGCTTGTCTATTCACGCGATGAAAACATTAATCTCATGACATTTGATTGTTTGGAAGAGCTTAAGAAAATACAGACCAGACATCCGGAAGCCAGACTACTGGTGCGCATCAAAGTGGACGACACCGACTCAAAGGTCCGATTGAATCGCAAGTTTGGTTGCTCTATGACTGATGCGCTTAATATGTTGTCGGCTGCAAAACAAATGGGTTTGTTTGTTATCGGTGTGGCCTTTCATGTGGGCAGTGGTGCACAAAATGCAGAAGCCTATGACCTGGCAATTGCCAGAGCCCGGCAAGTGTTTGATATGGCCGAAGCTCTGGGCTATAAGATGTCAGTACTGGACATTGGCGGTGGATTTCCTGGTCTATGGAGTCATAGTTTGGACAACAATGAGATAACATTTGAACAGATGGCTGATGTTATCAATATAGCTATTGATAAACATTTTGCTGATAATAATGATAATGGGCACTGGTATGACAATCTGACTGTTATGGCTGAACCGGGCACATACTTTTGTGAAACTGCTTTCACTGTACTGACCCGTGTGTTGTCCCGACGCGAGGTTAGTGATGACCAAAATAATTGGCCAAATATTATGTATACACTGAATGACGGCGCATACGGATCGTTCAAAGATTCAATATATATTCGTAAATTTTATGAACCGATACCACTGTTACCATCGGATATCATAGCAAAAAGGCAGTCCTATAATAGCATACTATGGGGACCGACATGTTGTAGTCATGACTGTATTAGAGACAACTGTCCACTGGTTGAGATGTTTGTAGGCGAATGGCTTATGTTTGCAAATATGGGCGCTTATAGTACTAACTTTGATAACATTGGCTTCAATGGTATGCCGGCACCTGTATATAGAATATATGTGTCCGATAAGGCCAAACAAGTTTTAATTAAACGCAAAGTTTGGAAATCAATTAGATGTTATTTTTATCAATTTGGTTATAATCAACAATAATGTAAATTAGCTCAACTTTTAATTATATTAATATAAATAATTAAATCTTAATAAATATATATTAAATAAAAATTTTATTAACATTTAATAATAAATGTAAGAAAATTACAACATAATAAAAAAAATATTTTTTATTATTATTATTGTTAATTAAATCTATTAAATATCTATTCATAAACAAACATATATTTTTCTAATTTATTTTGTCATTAATTGTATATGATTTTCAAATAACAATAAAAAATAAAATAATCTACAAATCTATACATTTTTGTTTGTTTTTTAATTTTAGTAATTGAATTTAGTATAATATAAATATGAAAATATTTTATTTTTCTAAAAATTAGACCTTTATTACAATGATTGTAAATAACTTTAAGTATTTTTTTTTAAAAATACTTATATTAAAGCGATTATACTTATTGTGTTATGAATTGATTAACTCTATTAGGTTTAGTTATTACCTTAGGCTTAGGTTCTAACGTTTCAGTTGATAAAATTCAAATAACATTCAAATAACATTTGCTCTCTCTCTCTCTCTCTCTCTCTCTCTCTCTCTCTCTCTTTCTCTCTCTCTCTCTCTTTCTTTCTTTCTTTCTTACAGTAATTTATAGTAATGACAAACAAATTTTATTTTTTTAATTATTCATATAATTAGTACATTATATTATACTGTAGTATCATTTTTTTAAATATACAATATATTTTATATAAAAAAATATTAAACATATACAGTATCTTTTTTTATAAAAACCTATTTAATAAAAATGAAATGTTTTATAATATTTTACAATTAGAAATATTTTAGATTTACTAAAAATTACAGACAAATAGCTAATTATTATTTTTTTTATTCAATAATTATTATTATAAGTTAACTACTTATATAAATATATAAAAATGGATATTATTTTAGCCTATTCTATAAGTATTATAATAATTAGCATATTTTTGACTATTATTTATAAGTAAATCATTTATTTATTTATATATTTTGTAAATTTGTTAATAAAAATTATAATTATTTATTTTTTTATTTTATATATATATATAGATATCTAACAAAAGAGTTTGACTTTTGGACCAAACGAGGCATAAAAGGTCCCAAACCTGTCATCGGTTTCGGTAATAATTTGCAACTACTATGGCGTCCGCGATCGCAGATGGATGTCGATTGGATGCGACAGTTTGGCAAAGTTTACGGGTATGGTATGGGTTGGGTTGGGTATGGGGGGGTTGTTGTTATTATAGCTAACAAACAAACAAAAAAAATGCTAACAAATTAATTCAAATGATAATATACCATAAAAAACACAGTTATTTTGATGGCAACGAACCTATACTATCCATTGCCGACCCGGAACTGGTCAAACAAATCTGTATCAAAGATTGGCATATATTTACCAATCGATCGAATCCGCCGCTGGTTTCGGCCAAAAGTCATCCAATACTCGGCAAAAATGTTGACGAAGCCCAGGATCAGCAATGGAAACGTATCCGATCTATAATGAGTACGGCGTTTACGGCCAGCAAAATGAAGGCACTGTTACCTAAGATTGATCACTGCATTGGCAATATGTTGACCGCACTGGACGGTTATGCCGGCCGAGGCCAAGAGGTCAACATGAAAGTTATTTACGCCAATTTTGTAATGGACTCGATAGCGGCCAGTGTTTTCTCAATGAACCTGAACTCACATCTACAGCCTGAACATCCGTTTGTTGTAACTACTAGTTCATTGTTGCACCCGAACTGGTGGCGTAATTTGGCACTTGTTATGCTACCCGATTGGGCACTAAAACTACTATCAATTACACACTTTATGACCGATTCGGCTAACGAGTACTTGTTTGCACTGACCAGACATGTACTGAATGAACGAGAGAAGCGCACGACAACAGAGACCGACAACAATAGTGACAATGATTTTGTCGATTTACTGGTCAAAGCAAAGATGGATAAGTCAATGGAAAGGGAGCTAAAAGAGATGTCGGAGTTTGAACTTTTTGAACAGGGTTTAGTATTTTTGAAATATTAAAATATTGTGTGTGTATGTGTGTGTATGTGTGTGTATGTGTGTGTATGTGTGTGTATGTGTGTGTATGTGTGTGTATGTGTGTGTATGTGTGTGTATGTGTGTGTATATGTGTGTATATGTGTGTGTATGTGTGTGTATATGTGTGTATGTGTGTATGTGTGTGTGTATGTGTGTGTGTATGTGTGTGTGTATTTGTGTATATATGTGTTAATATGTGTGTTTGTGTGTGTGTGTGAGAGAGAGAGAGAGAGCGAGTATTTAAGTAATAATAAATTTTATTATTTTTCTTAATAGGAATGTCTAATCACTTGACTCTGGAGGAAATATTGGCCAACGCATGGGTACTAACCGTATCGGGTATTGATCCCAATATGACAATACTAACACTGGCTACCTATGAGTTGGCAATGAATCAAGAATTACAGGAACGGCTCTACAGGGAAGTCATGACTGCAGTCAACGAGACTACTGGCCAACTGGACTATGATTTAGTTGTCAATCTTGAGCTCATGTCAGCCGTCATATCTGAAACACTGAGACTGCATACGACTGCCATACGCGAGAGTCGTGTGGCCAAAGAGGACTACCAGTTAGGCGATACCGGCATAACTGTCCTTAAGGGCGAAATAGTTGAGATAACTTTCCACGCGATACACAAGTGTGAGGACTACTATTCAAATGCCGAACGTTTTGTTGCCGACAGGTTTTTACCGGAAAATCGACACAAACTGGTGGCCAATACATACCTGCCCTTTGGTATGGGTCCCCGACATTGCATAGCCAACCAGTTTGTCCTAATGATACTGAAGGTAACATTGGCTCGCATTGTCCGGCAGTACCGATTCAGTCGGTCAGACAGTACGGATGTACCGCCAAAAGTAGTGTTACGTAACTTTACGTATTCACCGCAACGCATGTATCTTAATGTCGATAGACGTCAATGAAAAAAATAAAATAAAAACAATTAGTTTATAGATTTTAATTATAGATATTTTTTATAAAAAAAATTATTAAAATTCTTCATATTATACTAATATCTTATCTAATATAAGTCTATTTATATTGAATTAAATATATAAGTAGTTGGTACAGGAGTATAGCAGTGGGGGAAAGCACTGTGCTTCCCCCCATATATATTCATAGCAGAGAGGGGATAGCAGAGGTCACGTGACCCAACCTAACCTAACCTAAGTGTAGTACACCAATGACGTCACCACTACCTCTACCCGAACTAACCAACTACCCGAACTGGCCAACTACCCGAACTGACCAAATACCCGAACTAACATTAATTATTGCATACAATACATGTAATATAATGACATCACTGTATTGAAATAGTATGTACACACTGTATTGCAATAGTATTACATATACTGTATATATTAATTAACTTAAATTGTTAATAACTTTTTAATTGTAATTAAAAGTAAATTTTTTTATTCTTAAAAGATGCTTAAAAATGTGTAGTTTAAGTTAATAAAAAAATAATTATGAAAAATTAACTATTAATCGGTAAAATTAATAAATTAATGTCCTTATAGACTGTAGTACGAAATACATTGGATTGAGGCTAGCTTTGTATTGAAACATACATCAAATTAACTCGCCAGTAGAAGATATCAGTGTATAACTGAGTCTTATGTTATTATATTGTGTTTATTTATATAAAAAAATAAAGTAAGCACAAATATTTTTTTTTATCAAAAAAACTTTAAAAAAACTTTTCAAAAAAAACTTTTCTAAAAACTTAAAATTTATTAATAACTTTCATTAATTTCATAATAATTTACTTTCATATTTCTGCACAGCACTATGAATAAGTATCCTAGAGATAGTTTTGATAGATTTGGAGATGATTTGTGTGCATTACTATTAAGTCCGTTGGTCGCAGATGACCAATCATGTCTTAGTGAAGTTTCAACTCAATGGAAACATTGTCTTCCAGTTTATCATCGAATTATCCGAATTACCGCCGATTACGATTTTGATTGGTATAAACGCTTCGACGACAATACAATAGTATTTGGATCTCTAGGGTCGAGTAATTTGGCATTAGGAGATGAATGCATTCAGTCATTACACTCGAAATGGGCATACATTACTAAATTGGAAATCAATTTGGCAATTATCACTCAAATTAAATCAATGCATTTATTTTTGAACAACTTTAAATATTTGAGTGAAGTGTCATTCTTTTGGGGTGACAAATTTCCTATTGATGAAGAGCTCATCTATATTCTTGATTTGGATATACCGGCAAAAATTAAGGCCATTAATTTTATGGATAAGATAAAATTCAATAACAGAAATTTTTTAAAATTTATTGAAATGTATGGCGAAATAATTAAAGAAGTGCACATTGACGGAGAAGTGTCGTCTCAACTTTTGTGTCAACATTTATCAATTGCACCAAAATTGGAAGAACTCAATATTTACAAACTATTAACAAAAGATCAATGGATTAGTCTTTCGGCAAACAAATCATTGAAAAAACTGACAATTGACTATGATGTCGGTCAACACGTTTTTAATGCATTCAATTTGATTAAACAATTGACGCCTTCAATATATTTTAAATCTGATACGGGTAAACAAGTGGCTATTGTTGAAAGTCTACCAGGCTTTGGAAAAGTTGTCGATAAAATGAAAAAAAACTGGTACTTATAAGACTTCAATGAATATGAGAAATTACTCTAATTTTTGCGTTTACGTAAAAAACCGTAAAGTACTTGTTTTGTATAACATTTACAACAACTATCTTAAAGCTGTATTAGAAAGCAAAGCAATAGATATGTTAATATCTTCAATCAATTTCATGAATATCTAAGAGGTGCATTAATGAAACCAAACATCACTAATATTGTTATACCTGAATTTGGCCTAACAATGAAATTGTTGGATTTAGTAATAGCGAAAGCTTCAAAGTTTCCTAACAAACAGTTAACCGTCTCAATAGCGAACCATATGGCTGTCAACAAATACCAAATTAACAACTTAACTATATACACTACTTATAAATACGTAAAAGATAATATTGTTTATGAATAATTAATTATATAATATTTAATGATTTATTTTATTATATTGAAAATGATAATATTTACAATTAAACTATTTATGTATATTTAATACAATGAATAATTGAATAAAAATTTTTTTATTTACAAAAGCGTTCATTAAATAATTTATCTCTAAAATCTTTATCTAATACATATAATATATTTTCTTCAATAAGTTTACATTTATATTCATGGATACGTCTGTTAAAAACTATCCAATGCCAATTAGAGATGCGGGCTTGTTTTGAAGCATATGACCAAACATACATAATCTTTATCTGCACTTTGTTTTCAAATCTTACTTTCTTCATATTTATTTGTTTATTAAGTAATCAAAGTATTTAAACATAAACTCTTCAAACAACTCATTCAATGCTTTTCTAGTATTAACACCAGTCAATATCATTTTTCCTTTTCTAGTGAGAGTTATGTGTCTTTTATTACCACAATTGATCCTCAAATGTGGAAATATTTCCAACTCAAAATTACAGCTCCAATTAAATTGATTCATCAATTTCTCGACATTCAAATCGTTTTTCAGGTCATGTGACGCAGCAATGTTAGTCACACGTAAGTTATGTAATTTGATGTCATATCCGAGTTTTTGTATTATGCGAGCAGTCTTTCGTAATGCGATTCGACCAACATTTTTTGTTTTTGCACCAACGAATATTAGTTTACCAGAGTCGTATATCATAACCGTAGCATTAGGGTTACGGTACCGTTTAATTACTCTCACAAATGGGTAATTGTGATAAACACAATTACAACAGTTGTTACACATTTTTATTAAATCAATAAAACCAATCATTTCAAAGAGATCAGCAGTCATCGAAACATTAGTTATCACTGGCATATTGTTAACTGTATGCTAAAAAACTTACTATAATAAATGTTAATGTATTTATAAACACATCAACTATTGCAACAACTGTTGCAACAATTAGTTTAACAACTATTGCATCAACTATTGCAACAACTGTTGCAACAATTAGTTTAACAACTATTGCATCAACTATTGCAGCATGTAATGAAATAAGTAGTTTAACAACTATTACAACAACAAATAGTGTATTACACTATCGTAAAACCTGTTTACTTTATAAAATATTTACTTATAAAAGCAATGTGTGTTTATACAATATCATTGTATTAGTGTTTAGTAGTTTAGTTATTACTCTTTATTATTGTGAATTTTTGTATCATCAAAATGGTTGGCAAAACATTGTTTCAAAAATCCATTTTCAGCAAAACTGAAGGCGAAAACAAATTTGATAAATTTGTTCGTGTATTGGAACACGAAAACGGTGAAAAATTTGTGGACATCCGACTCGCTGTTTTCAATGAAGGAGAAGATGTCTTCTACACCAAGCATGGCGTTTATTTATATGGTAATGAATTTAAAGAGTTGTTGAAAAAGCTGGAAACCCAAGACTTTGGTTCGTTTGGTGATCATCGAGTGATATCATTCATGCATTTGAAAAAACAATTGTATTGTTTTAGTATCATTAGTAATGGTAACATTAAAAAATTAAATGTCATATTCTCTGAAATTGACAATATATTGTCAGTGAAAGATGATATTATTAAATATCTTAATTAAAGTAATTATTGTATATTATAAAACATTGTAATAAATAAAAAAATTAATTGAATAAAATAAATTTTATTGATAAATAAAAATTGTATAATTATCTACATTTTTAATATGAAAACAAATAGTAATTTTTAAGCCATTTCCACAATAGATCACACTTGTGTTGAGCGCATCTCATATCTGATTTATCGGGTATGATACGTTCATGAAAATGACATGAACGGCCACCATACATTCTCTTTAATGTCTTAAGACTAGGACATCCATACTGATTCAATTCAACGTAAGGTATAGCACACATATCCAATAGATCTGCCAATTGATGACACTTTATTCCAATGTATGGTTTTTCTTTGCTTTTGATTTTCTCATACATCTCAATAATAATCTGTTTGGCATCCATTGTTGAGTTTTGTGTTATCTCAGTGTTTACTGTACGTAACGATAGTCCCAATAAGTTGTTGGCCAAATAAAGGTTAGTAATCCGATCTTTCAATTCCATATCTCTATAAGTTAGGTTTGTCTCACACAACTCAGACATTTTACATGTGTGAGATATGATTGCAATCTCACGGGGGACAAAGATATTGTTATAAACAAAACCTTGTGCGTCCATTAAACCACAGATTTGATTAATTTTAGTCATTTTAGAGATTTAGTTTGTTTACTATAAATAATAAGTCGTGTTCGTTGTTGAGTGGAAACCCTTCTTCTATAAAATAACGTTCAATGCGATGTCTATATGTTGACGCAATATTTGCTAACGTACCATTAATTACGTTTACATCAGTCATAACAATAAGAAACTTTTCATTATAAATATCTTTTATTTTAATGTAAATTCTATAATAATCACTAAAATTTTTATACACATCTGATAAATGACATTTACCAGTTACATAATAATTTGGCAATACAATCATTAATGTGAGGATTAAAACCAAACACAGTTTGGATTTGTTCAAATGATCCGCCATTAAAATAATTAGTTAAAAAATAAATACAATATAATCCACAAGTATTAGAGTATACACTTTGAAAATTAATACAGTTGTAATACCATCCGTTTACAGTATTGTCTTTTATAAAATTTAAGATATCATTATGTAGTGGTTGTAAACCAAATGAATCAAAATATATAATGTTACCATTATTTGTTTTGTATACACTAACCCAGTGTTCCCCAGGATCACTAGCTTTATCTGTATTAATAACAACACCACTATCTTTTGGTATAATATTTGGTAACATATCTCTCGGATATGTACCATAATAATTATTACAATTTTTAAAATAATTATTTATTTGTAATGTATTCATAATAATTTATTGAAAATTTTTAATAGCAAATCTTGAGCTCTCTATTTCTACACAACTATCATATTCGCAAAATATGATTGCAGTTACAGTCTCTTGTATAGGGTAGGCAAACTTTAGTTCAACTCGTAAGTTACCTCTAACTACAGTTGATACATAGCCACTTTTTGCTACTCCATCAGATAAATCAGGTGTAAAATTGAATCCAAATAGAGTATAACCTTCAGCGTACTCTTCCCGTGTTATGTCAATATCTGTTGAGTGTTTGATTTGATTTGCTGTTTCAAATAATCCAAAGTATTCACGCATATATTTTTTATTTGTAAAGTCTGGTGTGTAAGGTCTGTGTGGATATTGAGTGCCATCAACATAGCAAGCAATGTGTCTTATATTGTAATTTTTAAAATAAAATGGGTTCATATTATATGAACCATTATATGCTTCATTACTAACAAAACCAATGTATATTTTTCTAGGTATCACACCATTGATAACATTATTTAAATAGCAATCTAAAGTATCTTTAGCTATAATTGATGTCTTTACTTCTTTACGAGTTATAAAATAGCGAGCGTTAGCACTTTCAAGTGCTCTATTGTGCGCTACAACTACTTGTGGATTAACAATAGATTTATGCATAAATAATCTTACGTCCATTATTTCAACTGTCGGTATCAGTGTTTTATCATAAATTAAATAAAACTTGGGGTCTTGCGGGTATATTTTAATATTGAGTGTGACACCACCAAGTAATGACTTTACTTGAGATGCTAAATCAATGTGCAAATTACCATACATTTCGACTTCACAGCCGTCAGATAATGAGTTTCCTGACGGTCGTATACGACTACTTCTTATCTCATTTACCGAATCCATAGGTATCTCATCTTTATGCCAAAATGCAGTCTCTAAATGTGTTTTTCTAGCATATCTATTACTGTTAAGTAATGTGTCAATATATGACACATATGAATAATTCACTGATGATGTTGTAACAGTTGTTTGACCAATATTTACATCAATTTGTTTAATAAATGAATGCATTAAATAATTGATTGGAGATATTAATTTCCAGTCTTCCGGTTTAACTTCAGGTGTTGTTGATACAGTAGATTTTTGTAATTTAAATTTTAAACATAAATAAAGTTCACTTTTGCTTAAATTAATATATTCATTTAAGCCTGTATGTACTTCAAATTCAATTGTATTTGTTGAATTAGATAATGTACTTATTGGACGGTGTTCAGTTTGAACATCACGTTCAATCATTAATTGTGTAGGTGGAACTCCAAACACGTCCATTTCTGGAAGTGTCATTAGAGATGATAACTCATGTATTGTAGACATTTTTAGTATTTTTTTTGTTTTGATTTTTTCTTTACTGTTTTACGTCTTTTATAAGATTTTAGTTTAGTTTTTGTTTTTATTTTGCGTTTACGTCCTATACCTTTTTGCTGTCTAACATTCGATACTTTATTTTTAACATCTGTTAAAATAGTATCTGCTGATCTTATCAACTGATTAGTACCGGCTTCTTTGAATGATTTACCAGATAGTATATCATTACCAATACCGTTAAATGCATCCTATCCTTTACTTGCTACATATTTTAATGCAGGTTTAATGTGTTTAAATATTTTACCAAATATACCATTACCGGACTGGTATCTATGTCCAGCATAAGATACAATACCGTTACCGGCTTGGATTTTATAGTAATCAATATATGGATTATTCATACTTTAATAAAATGCAAAGTTATTGTTACTCTACCAAATTTAAATGGTATAGATAAACCACTATCATCTTTTATAGATATTTCAAGTGTTTCAAATTCATTAAGTCTTACAGGTCTATATTGAGGCCTTTCATAATTTAAATGTACTGTATCTCCAAATTTATATTTACGCGGTATTTCAACTACTCTCAGTAGAGGTGCAAACGCGTCACCAACTAGTGATGGGTAAACAATATCACTATATAAATATAGTGAATGAAAACCGCCACTAATTTCCACTGGATGATAGCCTTTAATAGTATTTTTGTTTTCAATACCATTGAATACTATATTAACTAAGCTATTGCTACCATGATAATAATTATGTGTAGCTTTTCTATCTTTTAAACCTAAAATGTTTTCAATTTCATCGCCCAAGTCAGGAAATATTTTAACTACACTTTCAACTATTCCAACATTAATTGTAATAAAATTATTAATCTCATTATAAACTAATTTTGGTGGTTTAATGTCAGTAAATAAAGTCAAAATATTGTTAATTTCATTAACTAATTTGTGAGGTGTATCATAATAACCAGCTTTAAGTGTAAACTTATCATCATATTGATTAGACTGATCACCATAAATACGACCCATTTCATCAAATAATGTAATTTTATGATCAAATAATATATTATACCATGACTTTGTATAGGTTATTTCAGAGATACCAACACACCAATTATCATCGAGTTTGACTGTTTTGCCTAATTTTGTTCTAAAATCAGACATTGTATTGTCAAATTTTTTGACATTATTAACTAAAGTAATATATTTACTCATTATTCACAAAGTTTAATTTGTGTATTTTTATCAAAATAACAATTCCAAATAATTTTTTCTTTTTCTCTTAAAAATAATAACACAGCAATAAATATTATGAATAAAATAAAACACAATATGTTAATTAGTAAACAATTCATTTTTATTTTTAAAATACAGTATCAGTATCTTTTATAACATTTTTACATAATTTTAGTTTTGGGTTAGGCATTATATAACCAAT